AAGAAAAGAAAGAAAAAATAGAAATAAAAGAAAGAAAAATGGAAAGAAAATACAAAAGAAAATGGGAAGAAAAAATTGGGAAGAAAAGAAAGTAAATAGCATAAAGAAAAGAAAGAAAGGAAATAAAAAATAGAAAGGAAAAATAAGAAAAGAAAGAAAATAGAAATAAAAGAAAAAAATGTAAAGAATAGATTGAAAATAAGAAAGAGGAAAAAAGAAAATAGAAAGAAAAATAGTAGAAAGAAAAGAAAGAAAAAATAAGGAAATGGGAAAAAAAGAATGAAAAATAGAAAGAAAAAATAATAGAAAAATAGAAACGAAAAATTGTAGGAAGAAAAGAAAAATAGAAATTATGATAATAGAAGAGGAAAATTATAAAAGAAAAGAAAATATGTAATAGAAAAGGAAGGAAATATTGGAAAGAAAAGGAGAAAAAAGTTGAAAGTAAGATAGATAAAGAGTTAAAAAGAATCATGAACTTGAAGCAGGAAAAAGTATGAAAGGAAGAATAAATACCTTCATTATAATTCTTCTTTGTGTCTTGAGCTCAAATAATCCAATTGATTTTTCTGAAAATCTAATTATTTGAAAATAAATATTAACTTTAAATTATTCAAATCAGATCAGAAACATCTTGCTAATCTTATTTTATCTGTAACTTTTCTGCAGATCTTCTCAGGGATGATGTAAAACAATGCTCTCTTTTTCATCTATGTGCACTGTCCAAGCAGGCAATCATGGCTCTCCACAACTTTCTATCACTTGTAGCTCTTAATGTTTGTTTTTTACTCCTCTTTCCACGCCTGTTGTGCTATCTGTTCACACAAGCTAGTCATGGAGAAGCTTGGGGCCTATCCCTGTTTCTTTTGCTTTTGACATGTTAGTGTGAGTGTCAAATTCTCCAAGCTACACTTCCAGGTTATGTGTCCAAGAAATTTCAGTTGTCTGTTTCTTTCATTCTTAGTATAAGTTTGTTTTTTGTTTTTGTTTTCCACAATCCATCCATAGTATTCTGAGCATCCTTCTCTAGAACAACATCTCCATTACTTTCTGTCTTTTCTTCATCTGTGACAAAGATTGTCCATCGTTAACTGCCATATAGGAGGATTGATATTACATGGCACTTTGGCACTCTCTTCTTTGTTTCTAACAACGTTCTCAGAGATTTCAATAAACCAATCATAATTTCAAGATATATTTTCCACCAAAATCTCTTCATGTAGAACATAGGCTTACGGTCATATCACTTTGAAACACTGATTCCAGTACAGTCACCAGTGTTAAGCAACACCAAGCCTGGTCAGTACCAAGATGGGTGACCACTTAGGAAAACCAGGTGCTGTAAACTTGGACGTGTGGGTGGTGTAATGGATAATGGCTCAGAAATGGCTCAGAAATTGGAGAGCAGAGTTCAGTTCCAGTTAAGTTTGTTATATTCACTTATTCATAAATATCCTTAGGAAAGGCATGGATTCATCTCTTCTTCTCAGCTATGGGTTAATTTGTAAAACTTGGATTACTAAATTATTATTTCCAAAATTTTTTTACCATCTAAAAATGTTTTCTGGCTTTAAATAAACTGTAGAGAGTTGATAAGTCATAAAAAATGAATCAATCAATAATGGTTTAGAAATCTACAGTTTCAGATTGCTAGATTAGTGATGCTTGTTACTGCCTATAGGCAGAAGATCAATTCCAAACCAGGAATATATGAACAATTAACATTTTAGAAATTATTTTTACATACCAGAATTATTGATCATGCAGGTGCTTCTTTTAAGTAATGAACCAGGAACCACTGCCTTTAATTGCTTTCTCACCTGATTCTCTTTTTTTACTACTATTTCATTGGTAGCTTCTAGCCTGGCCAATGTTTATCCAGAATACACAATATATACATGGGAGATATTTATTTTCCTTATTAAATAAGCTGTCTACCACAAGGCTACACGAGTTGGGTATCCAGTTAAAATCATACTTGCTTGCTAACTGTTGTTCTGCTGGTAGATAAGTCTTGTTTATTGACTTGAATTTGTTGATCAAAATGAGTTTTAGTCATACCATTATGTGGTTATTTTATACTCAAAATATGAGAGTCTTATATTAGCAAAAATTATATTATAATGCATGCTTAGCATATCTAGATTAAGGGGCACAATTCTAAACCTTATTGAATATTCATCTTTATTTTTCATTCATGATGTTTATGTAATTGTCATAGAATAACAATCTGTGCGTTGTGTAAAAATGAGAAAAAAGATAAAGGTAAAACTAGGTAGAAATTAAGAAAAAGTGACAATGTTTTATCTTACAGCATTTCTACACTATTACATCTGATACTACAAGTTTAAATAATAAAAAAACAGGATAGTAGAATCTAGTGACTGGAGACAAAAGGAATAAAGTTATATGGCTGAGCAATTTTTACTGGCAAAGCTTTTGTAACTAAACCAATAGTGATACTGTCATAAAAAAGACAAACTCTAAGGAAGAAAAGAAGGCAAAGAACCGTTTCTTATTTCCAGTCTATATTGTATTTTTTATTATTACTGAATAACAGTCTGAGAATTGCAATAAAAAGCAAGATGAGGAAACTACTAGTCAAAAATTAATAATAGTGACATTGCTTTCTCTTATGGAATTTGTAGACTGTTAAATCTAATATTACTACAGTGTAACCTGGATATAAGAGAGTTGTCGGGACCGGAGAAGAAGTCTCTTATATCCGGGTTTCTCTTTATATCCGGGTTTGGTCTATTTTGTTTACATTAACACAGGCTCTAATTTGGGACAGGAGAAAATCTCTCTTATATCCGGGTTTCTCTTATATCAGGGTCTCTTATATTAGGGTTACACTGTAGTTTAAATGTAGGAATGAAAAGTATTATAATTTTAACCCTCCTGCTACAATTGTCCTTCAAACAATATTTGGCAGGTTTTCGTAAGTTGGGCTAAAGAGAACGCAAGACCTGGAATTCAAAGAAACAAGAAATGTATTAACATGTTACAAAAGGATAAAGAAAGAAACAAAGTTGAACTTATAAAGAGTTCAATACAATTTTCAGTCTGTGTATCTGAAGTACTTATATGCTATGTGTCTATCAGAGCAAAAAGAAAACTTGTGTTGCCACTCCAAAAGTTAAAGGGAAAAGAGGAAGAGCCTTTCTAATATAGTACCACCTGTGATTATTGTCAGAGGGCAGTAACACAGCATATGATAAACAAACAAAATGGTGGAATTTAGTTTTTGGAGAAGGAAGGAAGGAAACTGTCGCTTAGTAGCCCCACTGCTAAAGAATTTATGGGCAAACTGGTAATGGCATTATCACAGAAAGAGGTAAGCTCTTCTTAGTAAGAGTCACAAAAGACTAATTCTTTATTTCTTATCTATATTGTTTAATGATCATTGAATAAAAATCTGAAAGTTGCAGTAAAAAAGCAAGAGAAATAAGAAAGAATTGTCAAAATAAAATGGAAGACTTTATATAGTTCCTGAAAGACATTTTTTGCTATTCCAATATTTCTTTGGATTTATGTGTCACATTTTCCATCGTCTGTTAGTGGATTATTGAGATTGTTAAATTTCTGTACTTGCTTCATTTTAACATTTCCAACACATAATTCACATATTGTGCTATCCTTTTTGCTGATGTTATGAAAGTGTTATGATGGCTGAACAAAGAAGAAACAATGAAAGGTTTAAGGAAAATAAACAATTGTATTAATGAAAAATACAACAAAAGATAAATCAGTGTAAATGTCTCATTAAAAAGAGAAATAAGTGAACTTGTAAAAGATGGTGGGTGAGGTGTATGGATGGAGAGGGAAGATGAGTTGTGACTTACTGGGGCAATGGCCTTTGCCGAACTGTCTCTTGGAGATGAGAGGTCACTTTTCAACAAAGTCTTTGAACCCGGGTCAAGATACTGCCCAACTGCTGTAATGTCCCTTTGATAGGCTTTTATGTCCTCTCTAAGACTCAAACCAACTCTGGTTTTTATTTTGTTTCTTTAGACAGGAGTGGGTGCTACTGGATGGAAATTCTGGATTGTATTGGTTATTTTTTTCTTTAAGTGTGTCATTAAAAATGGAAGGTATGTGCTTGCACAGTTGACAGAATTTTAGTTCAGTTTTGGGTGTTCGAAGCATTCACATTTTTTTTTTTTTTTAAGTGTTTCACCACAAGCAAGGCAGGAAGCTACTAGGATGCAAGATGTTACAGAAGATTTGGAGCAAGGTCAGATAGGAGTGATAGAGGAAAGGATGAGGAAAAGGATAGTGGATAGATCAAGGCAACCGATTGACATTACATTTGAATAGTTGGAGATTATAGCTCTCAGGGAAACTGGAATAGGGAAGGGAGTTCCACAGGTGAGAGGTGGGAGATATGAAGCTATTGGAGTAGAAGAGAAGGCTACATTTAATAGTTTTAACAGTGAAAGGGTGAGAGCAGGATGCCAGCTTCATAGGGCACTTGAATTCATGAAATCTGGGAACCAGCGAATGCAGCTCCTCGGAGCAATTACCATGAAAGTATTTGTAAAAAAGACAGAGAGAGGCGACAGCGCATCTGTGAGAGAGCGACTGTAGACAAGATGCCAGAACAGGGCCAATTATATTGCATATCCACCTCTGGAGCTTATCAAGAACCCCAAGGCAAGCAAAAGGGCATCTAACCAGTGGTGAAAATTAGTGTAGCATGAATCAAATGGTCTGGTTTTAAGAAGAATATAACAGTGATATTCAAGCATTGTACTTTACAGTTGATAGTTTTTCTTCTTCATTTCCTTTACTAACATGCTGATTTCATTTACCCCTCACCAACCAAAATATTTAGTCTATGCTGGTGCTATTAGCTTACATGTGTATATATTAAAAGGTATTCATGCCAAATGGTTTACAATAGAGATTTAATATTTTCAATCATATTTTTAAAACAGGTGAAGACTCTTGAGAAAGTGGAAAAAAATTGGGAACAGAAAGAATCAAGATTGGAGGAAATGTTCCTCAAAGACAAACAAGGTAGGTTGAATGAATTTCTATTAATGCATGATTAAGTAATTCTCAGGAAAATCTACAACAGAATGGAAAAAAGTTTTTGTATGACATATTTTGTCCTTTAGGATTTCATCTAACTAAAATGATATTTATGTGGATTTGATTGATTAAATATCATACACTTAAGATCCGCCAAGTAAGGTTGAATTTTGAAAGAACCTGGATGCAAATTTACTGTGGTCGATTGAGTGATTAAATAACTTTCTATACATTATTGTCTTAGTAAATTTAATAACAAAAGTGATAAAAACATAGAAAAAAGAAATGAAATGAAATTGTCTAGACTATATATCCAAAATACATACTTAAAAAAAAATTTAATTTAAAATTTCAGTGCCCCCTCTCATTCATGCGTGTGTGTAATCACATCACCTTAAACATTACTTTTGTCTGATGAAGTCCGAAAGGACAAAATGTGTCATACAAAAAAAAATTTCCACTTTGTCATAGATTTTAGTAAAATTGCCCTTGATATATAAAAATGTATATATTGTTTTCCCATAAGAAACTCTTATAAATATTTTTATGGTCTTCATACTGGTTTCCAGAATTGATTGTTTTAACCATTTATGGTATAATTTATAAAAAGAAAACTATCAGTAGTAATAAATAGGATCTCTCAAACCGTACACCGCAATCTCAATCACTAACCAGGGGTGCAGGATGATTCATCAATGCCACCAACTCAAGACTGGCCAACTCATCTCTGTGATTACTCAACTTCAGGACAACTCACCACCAGCCTACTCAGTGTGAGGACAACTCAAAAACATGCAAACTGTGACATTATTTTGTTGACTTTTTAAAAAAACAAAAAGTAATTTATTAACGAACATTTATTAATACATGACTTTATTTTTAATTTAAAAAATTATTAAAGATTGTATGCAATTCTACTCAAATATTCCGTTAGAAATCGTTGTAAAAAAGAAGAAATAATCTGCAAAATTCTTTTATCTGCTTTCATAGACTTCTTCAAATTAGGGGGCGGGAGATGACCACAAATTAATTTCTTGAAAAATGCATTTTGGTTTCTTTGCATCTTTTGCAACCTATAATGAATCTCCATATTGTGGGGAGCTCCTTCCCCAGCTTTGTGTGCAGTCTTCTATTAGCTTCAGTGTGGTTATTTATCTTATCTTGAAAATTAAACATCAGTCAGCCAAATAGGCTGTTGTAATTAATAAATCAGTAAGACAAACAGCCAAACTTTCAAAATCTCTATGAGTGAAAGCTGATCTAAAAGATGTGCACACTAGGAGAGCCATCACTGATCTTGAAGCTATGAATTTGGTGCCAGTGTTGAGTTGTCCTCATGCTAAATAGGTTGGTAATGAGTTGACCTGGATTCAAGTTGGTTTGTGCTGACTTAGCGGTGTTGAAATGTCCCATCCTGCTGACCAAGTGCCAAATTTTACAGCTGGTATCTAGCATACCACAATTGGGAAGTTACTTGGAAATTTACTTTTTACAATTAATTTTGTATTTCATGTTTACTAAATTAATAAACTGATTAGTATTAATGGGATTAACATTGTGTGTTCTTTTTTTATTCAGAGATATCAATTCTGTATTATTTCAGATTTAAATAAATTGATTGAGAAAATGAAAAGTGAACTAGAGAAGAAAGACTGTGCTTGTAAGATGGAAGCTGATGCAGAGGTAGGTGAATTCTCATTCGTCTCATGTGAAACCTGTCCTGGGTATGATGATAAACGACATCCAGCAGCAAGGCCTCTGATTGGGAGATTTTGAGGAACATGGAATCACTTCTTAATTGCTGTTGTTCCCAGATCCACCCTGACCTGGAGTGGTAGCACCTGTTAGGGTCCCATCTATGGACAAATAGTTAACCCCCAAACTGGGGTCAAAATACTATGAAAGTGTAAAAATAGCTTTTTATTGTGAATATACATTGCTTTGAAAAAAAAAATCATTACCAACAATATATTTAAAAAAAAAAAAGAAAAGATTATTACCAGCAACATATTTTTGAAAAAAAAAAATTATTACAAATAATACATTTAACTCTTGATAAAAACCCTCTTTACAAAAATATGTCAATGAAACTTGATCTACAAACTGATTTCTTATAAAGAATACATATTCTATTCATACAAACTGATCCTAAAAATCTTGTCGGCAACATTAAATAACTTATCGAGGTTGTTATGCTTTAAAACAAAATAAACCAAATCAATCAGGTTCAACCGCATGACATAAAATCTACAACTGACAAAACAGAATCAGTTAGTAGTCATTGTATTTTTAATATTTATTGTAGTATATTGGATTTTAATATACTTATGAGCAGCAAGGACTGGATAAGGAAAATAGGAACTCCACGGAAACATATCCTTACAATCAGAAAGAGTTGAAATTTGTGCGATACGTAATGAAGAAAGAAGGCCACAAGAATGTGACACTCAGAGGATATATTAAAGACATGAGAAGAAAAGGGAAATAACAAGCAAGCTACTTCACAATATTGTGTGAATAGATTAATGAGGAAAGAAGGCTAAAAGAATATAACACTAACAAGACATTAAAGGTAAGAGAAGCAAGAAGAAAGAATAAGTTATCTACTGGATGCAATTATGTGAATGCTTACGGTCAAATCATGCTGAAACACCGGTTCTCGTATGATCACCGAAGTTAAGCATCGTAGAGCCATGTCAGTACTTAGATGGGGGACCGCTTGGGAACACCTGGTACTGTAAGCCCCCAAAGTCCAACCCTTACCTCACAGTCGGTGGGGGTGTAAACGGTAGTGTCAGAGCTATGCCGCCCGAACTTCGCTCCTGGTAGGGCCACCCAAGGCGGACAGGTCTGACACACACGCCGGCTAACAAGGGCTCTGGTGAAAATCCAAGGAGCGTCTGCATCGGTAACCGGCGGCTTCTGGTCGTTCCTGTCTCTGCATCTGTGGGAACCCCGCGGCAAGCAAGAACGTTATCCGAGTAGGCCTGGGTACCCTACTTCTGTAATTTATCCCAAGAATCTTCTTTTCATAACAGGAAGAAGCCGGCTCAATCCGCCCAGGGTGAATGCCGCATCAGTACAGTACAGTATTTATGTGAATAGATAAAGAGGAAAGAAGACCAAGAGAATATAACACTCAAAAGACATATTAAAGGTAAGAGTAGTAATAGAAAACAGTAATTTTTTTTTGTAGTAAGGTTCACTCTGTACAAGGCTTGAGGGCCACTTTAGGTAGAGGATTACATTAAGGGGTAGTTTATATGGATAGGTGGGTTAACTCAAGACTTGAACAGGTTAAGAGTGTAGTAATTGGGGAAACATCTTCTTGGGAGTCTCTTCCACAGGATAGTGGTTTGCAGGAAGAAATCTGTTTGAGCGGAACTTACTTTTAACTGATGGAATACAGAGGGAATGTGGGTGGTTTGTTACTATGTAAGTAGCATGGTGGGTCCTAGCTGGGAAGGTTAGAACTGGTAGATGAAAGGAATGTTAGTAACAATAGAGCAGTAAAAGACTCGCCACATCTCGCCTGTAAGAAAGAGTTTGGAGAGTGGAAAATAATTATTGTAGACAATAAACCTCACTTTCCACAAAAGTGGAAAGTGAGGTCTAGGCAGCTCCTGCCCACATATACCGATAGTACTCCATTTTGGGCCTGATCTAGCCCTTATAAAAGTAGAGGATAGTATAAGGTGTCAGGTACTTACTGGAGCCGTACAGGGAGTCAGTCATTAAACTATTTACATGATTGTGTGAATAGATTAATGAGGAAAGAAGGCTAAGTTGACTTGCTGAACCCTGTTCTTCTATTGTCCTTTCTCTTCACGAAAGTATTCTCATTCTTTTTCAATTCCAGTAACCCCTTGCATCATTGTGGCATTATCATCTTGCTTGGGGTTAAAGGATTTAAAAAAAAGACAAATAGCAAAAGAAACTAGGTGAAACAATTAATATACTTCACAAGATTACATGGATAGATTGATAAGGAAAGGAGGCCTGGAGAAGATGACACTAACAAGATATACTGAAGATAAATGGAGACAACAAGTAATCTCATTAAGGAACTTGTATGGATAGATAGCAGAAGAAGGGGTACAGAGGGGATGGTATAGAATCAAAAGTTACTTTGAGCAACAAAAAACAAACAGGAAATTGTAGAGAACTACAATCACCCATATCCTAAAGATACATGACATATAAAAGAAGAAACTGTTGGATTGTGACATAAATTCATTAGGATATCACGTAACCAAAACAGGTTCCTCAAAGTTTTTGATCAAGTCCCCATTTCAATCAAGTGTGCCTTTTTTCTATAGGCACAGGCATATATTTTCATTTTTTTCACACACACACACACACACACACACATATATATATATTCTTGGGTGATGTGTGGGTAGTCTAATGGATAGCAGCTCGGAATGAAAAATCTGAGAGCTGAGTTTGAATTTCAGTTGAGTTCATATTTACTTATGTGCAAATACCCTTAGGAAAGGTATAAGTCCATCTCTTCTTAGCACCCCCACCTATGGGCTAAATAGTAGGAGAGACTGACCTCTCTCTCTCACCATGTCTTGCTCCCACTCCCTGTAACCCTTGTGTGCTAGTGGCACTCCTGCCTTGCTTGAAGTGAAATCCTTAAAAAAAATAAACAAAAAAAAACAATTACTTGACCTTCATCAAATTCATTCCACATTGTACAGCCTATTTCTGCAACTTTTGTTAGAAGTTTAAATTCTGAGACTCCACAATCTCTCAAAATCAACTTCTGGGGCTTCATATTGATTTTGCTTGTTACTATTTGAGGTATACACATTTAATGGTAAGCTATGTGTGGAGGTTTCATAATGCTGAAAATGCTTTCAGACTAGTAATTTGAAAGTTTTATCTTTTTTTTTCCATTTTTTAAACTGTTCAATAAAGGAACATTGAAAAGTCTCAGAAACTTGTTTTTTTTTTCTTTTTATGATTATTCCTTGCATTTTACATCAGAAGTGATTAACTTTTTTTTAATACTACAAGGCCTAAGTTCCACTTAAGGTAGCGGGTTACTGTTTGGTTTGATTTGGTTTGGCAGTTTAATAGCATATCAACTCCTTATGGGTCATTTAATGCTGAAATTTAATTTTCTTGTAAGCTTTAATAATTTTTTCTTTCCTTTGAAAAATGTATTGCTGGTCATTTTTTATTTAGTATGAAAATGTATTGCTGACAATTTTTTTTATAATTTTTATGTTTTCATATTTTGACACCAGTTTGCAGGGGTTTACTATTTGCCTATAGCTGGGACCCTAACAGGATACCACCCTGGTTCAGGGTGGACCTGGGAACAACAGCAATTAAGAGGTGGTTCCATGCTACTCAAAATCTCTTGATCAGGTGCCTTGCTGCTGGATGTAGTTTATCATCATACCCAGAATGAGAGGGTTACTGACTGGCAATATTGTAATCACATATAGGCAGGGAAAAAAAGATTGCAAACTATGAGGATATGTAGGATAGATAATAGGTTAAGATTGTAGTGATCATGGAAGCATCTCCTCAGAAGCCTTTTCCATACTGTAGCAATTCTGGGGAGGAAGCTGTCTGGGTGGAACTTATTCTTTGCCAATGGAATGTGAAGGGGATGAGGATTTTGCATATGTGGTATGACAGGTCCTAGATGTGAAGGTCTGATCTGGTGGATTGGAGTTTTCCAGATCATCTCCCATGAAAATAGTGAGAAGCTAGCAACATTTTTTGCCTTTGAAGACCATGTGATAGTAATATTTCTGAAATTTGAAGCTCTTTTAAAAATGTTTTATTATGATTGTTTACACATCTTAATGTTCACATCAGGCATCTGGTGGTTGTAATTTGAATCAATTGGCAGTAAGTCGCTCTCAAAATGATAACATCCTCTTCAGCACTGTCTTGGTCTGAACATTGTCAATGATTCTTTGAATCTCCATATTCTTCAGTTTTATTTCTTATGTCTTTGGAAGAATCTTCTGGTACCAATTTTCATGAGCAAAACCTCTGTTTATTACATAGCTGTTCTCTTTACTGGGAATTATTTTGAAATTATTTAAGCATTTTTTTTTTTACATCTTTAAAAAATTTTAGGCTGAGACATCTCAACTTCCTTGAAGTAAAAGAACAGATTTGGAATATGTAAACTAATCATTCTTGTATACAAGAAACTCATTCATTATCTTTGTGTGATATTAAGTGTGTACAAAGAAAACTGGACTTCAGTCTTTAAAGAAAAGATTTTATTTGTCTTTTCTGGCTTATCGACCTTTTGCAAGTTATTTAAAGCCAGAAAATATTTTTCAGGTAATAAATTTTTGGAGATAATAATAATTTACTGATATAAATCCTAATAATTAACCCATATTTGTGGGAAGAAAAGGTGAAACCTTACCTTTCCCAAGTGTATTTGCATGTAAGGGAGTATAAAGAACCCAACCAGAATTGGAGCTCAGCTTCCCAATTTTCATTTCTGAGCCATTATTCATTACACCATATGCACAGCAAATATTACAGCACCTGGAATTCATAAGCGGTCACTCATGTAGTTAGTGACCAGGCTCAATGTTGCTTAACTTTGGTGATCCGGTATTCCAATTCCAAAACATTATTCATTTCAGTCCACATGCATCAAATCTTACAACACCTGGTATTCCTAAGCGGTCACC